ATTTTACATTTTAACATTAGAGAGAATATATGTGGATATAAATGTAACAATGATATAATGCAGATAAGAAAGTTATCTTAAATATTTCAACAACATTAATTAACAACAACAAAAATAATATTCCAAATTGGCTTAATATGATTGAGAAAAAAAAAGAAGAAAAAGAAATGGTCATTTAAAGGCAGAGAATTTTTACCGGGTGGTATTTTTATTCCAGGTGAGGGAGGTACTAATTTTGTACAGGTGTGATTTTTATCTACCTATGAATGGATACACAGTGAAATACCCTAAGGTGTCATTAACTAATTATACCTGTGATAGGGATTTTAAAACAATTTTGAATAAGTAGTAGAAAGGCTTCTCAAGTACCAAGGTACTGAATTATATATTTTTTAATGTTTAATTTAACACCCCTATCCTTTAAAAAAAATTATTATATCATATATACTATAAACTGCCTAAATGAGAACTCACCATTATGACTCTTCGAGCATAACATAATTATGGATTCTCCCCATGAAAATTTCAGTCCTTTAATATTTGAAAATTATGATTTCAGATTTCAAAAGTTCATGCTTTTATAAGAAAAAAAATCCCATACTTGCCAAATTTCATTCAAAAATGAAAAAGAATATGACCATTTAAGAGAACTGAACACACCGGTACAACTGACTGCATATAGCTTTGTTATGGATTCTCCCTATGTAAATTTCAGATCTTTTACAATTTATCATGTAAGATTTACATAGTTTATGCCATTGCAAGAAATATAAAACCAATTATACTTGCCAAATTTCAGTAAAAAAGGAAAAAGTTTTGACCATTTAAGGAAACTGAACACACCGGTTTGCATTATTATAGCCTGGTGATGGATTCTCCCTATGTAAATTTCAGTTCTCTTACAATTGATCATGTAAGATTTACAAAGTTCTTGCCACTGTTAGAAAAATAAAACCATACTTGCCAAATTTCAGTGAAAGAGAAAAAAGTTATGACCATTTAAGAGAACACACCAGAGTACTATACGCCTGACTGAATATAACCTGGTGATGGATTCTCTCTCTTACCGCTTATCATGCAAGATTTACAAAATTTATGCCATTGCAAGAAAAATAAAACCAAACTTGCCAAATTTCATTGAAAAATGAAAAAGTTATTACCATTTAAGAGAATTAACACACCAGAGTATGCCTGACTGAATATAACCTGGTGATGGATTCTGCCTAGGTAAATTTCAGTTCTCTTACAATTTATCATGTAAGATTTACAAAGTTCATGCCATTGTAAGAAAAATAAAACCATACTTGCCAAATTTCAGTGAAAAAGGAAAAAGTGTTGACCATTTAAGGGAACTGAACACACCGGTATGACTGCATGACTGCATATAGCCTGGTGATGGATTCACTTATTTCACATGTGTATACCTTTCTTGGGGAACCACCAAATTTGACCTTGATGTATGACCCACTTTTACACAAAAATTCCAAACTTTTACTTTGGCCATATCTTCTGAACAGTAGACACTAGAACATTTTTACTTCAAATATGTATTTTTTGTTGAAAGACCACTCATTGGATACCAACAACCTTGATTTTTAACCTTGACCTTGGAGATTTCCTTAATTGTGAAAAAACTTTAACCTTGGCCATAACTTTTGAACGGTAATGGATAAGGCTTTCATACTTTTCATATGTAATCCCTGTGAGAAGTCCCTTCATTGGATACCGAGAACTTTGACCCTTTGACCTCGACCTTTGAGTTTGACCAACTTTTAAAAAGCAAACCTTGACCATAACTTTTAAAGAGTAAAAGTAAGTGCTTTCTTACTTTACATATTTAATTCTTGTGATAAGACCTTTCATTTGATAGCAAGACCTTTGACCTTGACCTTGGAGTTTGACCTACTTGTAAATTTTTTTAACCTTGGCCATAACCTCTGAATGCCTAAGGCTAGAGCTTCCAGACTGTATATTTTTATTCTATGTCGCAAGACCTTTTATTGGATACCAATTACCTTGACGCTTTTGACCTTGGAAATTTTTGTTCTTATGAAAAAACTTTAACCCTGGCAATAACTTTTGAAAGCTAAGGGCTAGTGATCTCATACTTCACTCATGTAATCCTTTTGAGAAGACCTTTCATTGGATACCAAGAACTTTGACCCTTTGACTTTGACCTACTTTTAAAAAGAAAATCTTGACCAGAACTTTTAAAGGGTTGGGGCTAGTGCTTTCATACTTTACATATTTAATCCTTGTGACAAGACCTTTCATTTGATAGGAAGACCTTTGACCTTGACCTTGGAGTTTGACCTACCTTTAAAAATGTTTATCCTTGGCCATAGAACAGTAAGGTCTAGGGCTTCCATAGCTTACATAGGTATATTTTGTGGTAAGACCTTTTATTGGATACCAATGACCTTGGCCTTGAAGATTTCTTTTCCTATGAAAAAACTACCTTGGCCTTCTTTTATATTTCACAATTGTATTTCCAGTGAGAATATCCTACTTTTGGTACCAATATATCAAATTTGCATTTAAGAAAAGTTTAATCTTTCCTATGTTGCCATACGGGGTCATCAGTGTTTCACAAACACACCTTGTTTTTTTAAAGAAAAAAATCAATAAAGAATTATTAATCTTCCAAAAAGAACAAGGTACGGTTTCAATACAAATCTTACCCTGTGATTTTTTTTAAAAATGAAACTGATGTAAATAAAAAATGAAAACTCGTGCTTTTTGAATCATTAGAATTCCATGCAGAAAAAAATTCTAACATGCCTTTCTAAATGCTAATTGTGATGTCATAAACATGTGCATGCTCGGGTATTTTCTTAAAAAGTTGCAGTAGACACCCAATTTTCAATGAAATTTTCTTTCAAATAGATATTATCCACAGGCATCGCCCACAAAGATTTTGAGATATGTGGTTTTTCATAAAATTTTGCATATCCAAAAATTAAAGTGGGCTTGACGGCTATGGACACCATTTTCTGAAGAACAATTACCCTTGAATTGGATCCATTTTGAGGCTTTTTTCAGTTTAAAATACAGAAATGTATCAAATTAATGAAATCAAATTTCCATAATGGTACTACTTCATGATATATTCCTTCCCGATCTTTCACAGTCATAAACTCAACTAATATTTAAACCACTTTTAAAACCTTTTGAAATTTAAAACAACAGTTTTTAGGGAACAATAAAGATAAAACCATACCTTCTTTAATATGTACTTTTCTCATTCGATGCATAGACATGTATGTTTTTCACATGCATATACATGTATGTGTGGCAGATTTCGTTATAAGTCAGTGAAGATGTTGATGACTTAAGAGAAAATGACACTGTACGTTTTCGCTTTCCTATATGAACCAATGAACTGATCTTCATGTTGTTTTCAATATTTATATGTTTGGAATAAAACTCATAAAAATTCCTAAAAGCAAATTTCAATATTTTAGTAGTCACTCGGGAAAAAAAATGTTATGCACGTTCATTTAAAAGTATTAAACTTGATGATTCTCCAAAGAAATAATTATGAAATATTTCAAAGTAACAAGTTACTTTCAAAATGCACATTTTATGAGATCATTTAAGGAGTCCAGTAGAAAGAAAACTTGTAATTTTCATAATTTTCTACTAGGAATGGTAGAATCTTACAAAAACAAAGATTACATTTCAATAAGAAAAATTAAGTGACATTTTACAAGATAGATCGTATGTTTGTTTCTAGCTCACATTTACTGCTAGAACTTAATTTTATAATTATGATTTGTAAGATCTGATTTAAGTTTATGTAGATATTTTTTTCAGTTGATTTGGCTGGATTATCATAATAGTCTAGTCATTTTGTTTCTCATCGAATCTAGTAAAAGGTACTAGTAACTGTTTGTCTTTAACTCCCGGCCAACTAATTGATGCATGTTTGTCTTTTCTGCGTCCTTTATTTGATTAAATGACATTCTCGAGCTCATTCATATAACGGTGTTCCTCTTATTTAATATTATATGAGGTCTGTTTGATGAGAGTTGCATGTAACAAAATTTTGTCCCCAAATTTAAGAGGGACGATTTTTGAAAAATCTGAACATTATTTTAAATCATATGTTATGCATTTTAGTATTTAGTAATTAAGAGACATCAAAGGTGCCAAATTTCTTCCAAATTATCTTTTATTCACTAGATTAAATTCCCTATTTAAAGCCATATTGAAAATTAAAGGAAATATAAAAAAAGAATTGACAGACAAGTTTCTTGTAAAAATGTGCAGAATTCTAAGTCAATGAAACAAAACAATAATGCAATAATCACATTAATAGATCACGAAAATTGCGTGAACTTTTTATTATTTTCATGCTATGTCCTCTCGATTGTGCTTTTGAGATTATAGGGCTACTCCTTCGATACTTATGTAAAAAATATGCACGTTGTTGCATTTATTCCCTGCAGATGAAAGTAATTTGATCGGCTTTTTAGAATTAAAAAAATTACAAGCAGCGTTCAATCCCTCAGAAATCTTTAACACTTCAAGACTTGCCTCCACTTGTCAATAAAAGATATCTGTCAAATTTGACGTTTTAATCCTGACACCACACAATACATAATTATATTGTAAGTGATATAAATACTTCTGTTCCTTTCATCGGGAAAATACATCGCAGAGGCTCGTGGTAAGTTCTTTGATTCTATTTCGTTTATTCTTAAAACAAACGATTTTTCCTTAGACAAAAAAAAATTTCACTTTTCTACTTTTCTTGAAGAAACGAGTTTGAGTTTCGATTTTCAGAAGTAAAAATTGATTTGTATTTCAAATGTATCTAATAAGGAAACTTAAAATTTGCTTACAAAAATTAGAGTCCGTTTTATATTATAAAGATTTAACTTAAACTTTAAATTGTAATAAGATTTGCTTGCATTGTTTCCTAAAGCGTTTATTTAAAATCTATATTTCAAATAAACCCTCGTTTTCATTAATTTTTTTTTTTACATTACAGCTTTGATTAATATGAGGAAGGAAAATACTGCCCTTTTCATTGTATTACTCTCTTGCCTTATCTTACACATGAGTGAAGCATGGCTCTTTGATATCCCTCCAAAATACGTCGGCAGCCCAGGAGTTTCAAAACGAAATTTTAAGGTAAGAATAATTTCTCGTTTTTATTAAGTGAATGTAAGTTTGAATGAAAATTTTAATATTTGTTCAAACAGCCTTTCGTCAAAACAAATCAAAATACTGCATATGTTTTGGAATGTAAGGCTCCTTTCATTTTCCATATTATTTTTAGTTTTGCCAGTGTAATTTTAACAACTTGGCTGAGGCATTGGGTTGAAATACACATGGCAAATGACGCATAAAATAGTAACTGCAATTAAATAGAAATAAAACCATGTTATTCCTATGTTTAAGATTAAGAATGAATATTAAAAAAAAAAGATTTTTGGGCCAAAAAAAATTATAAAAGACAAAGTGAATTTGTATATGTTCATATAAGTTTGACAATTTTCAATATTGAAATTACTGTTTCAAAAAAGTTAATAACATCTTCATATGTTCAGATATCAATTTTTTGCCCCATTCGTTACAAAACTGCAAAATCGTTAAATTCATTTCGATAATCCTTTGTTTCAACATGCTTAAAGGCATTTATTTTCATTAATTCAAGGGCCAGAATAGAGAAGAAACAGATAGAAATTTAATCCCAAAGGTTTTAAATCAAGATGGAGTGGGTAGCAGCAATCAGCAACAAATTCATTTATTATTGTTGGTTTTTAAACATTTACAACAGAAAGGAGACATCCTAGTAAAACGTATGTATTGAAACCAAACCATCATATTGAATTGTCATATTGAAAAAAAGGATTGTGAAAAAAACAAATGTATACCGATTACTACTTCATCAGTAAAAGTCAAGATAGAAATTATATGTTTAGAATCACAACTGCCTCTGAATATTTTCAAAGATACCATGAAAGCGTAACTGAAATAAGTTGAAGTTGTCAGATCCATTTTTAACAGTGTGGATCTATTTTAAGTATATTATATTGATATTCGAAAACATTTCTTTAAAAATATCGGTTACATTTAGTTTCTTGAAATGTAAATGATTAAAACTCAACAAAATAGTTGGCATCATAAATGGGTTTTCTTGTGAAAAGTCAAATAGAGATTTGACTTCATGTATATCAAGACGCAAATTGGGAATAAGCTGGAAAAATGTGTTTTGCTTTTCATTTAATAAAATCAATGAAAAACCCATAACGATACTCGGGTAGTGCTATACGTGTACAAGTAAACATACTAGGGTAGTGTTTTTCCTTTAAGCCAAACAATATACAATTATTTTTTCAATTTTTTATTATTGTTAAAAAAAGTTTAATTTTTCTCTTATCTATCTTGCTTTTTAGATACAGATATTGAAGAGTTCCACTGAAGGAGAAAGAAAAGGATTGCAGTGAAAGTTTCTTACCGTGGTGGATATGTATGAAAACCAAACGCATTTGTTGCAATTACCAAGTGATATGTGATCTGCCTTCTAAAGGAAAACCCTTTTAAAAAATCTAATAAAAGTGTATAAAATGGCAAGTTTTCCTTCGTTTTGTACAAAGAGGGTGAACGAAAACATATAGGGTTACCGTAGTAAAAAAATATTAGTCAATGAAAAAAAAGGCACACACCAAATAGAGTAAGAATTATTTTTCATTTTTGCTATTAATAAAGTTATTTTGAAAGTAAAATACATGTATGTTTTAAAATATTGTCTTGCTTAGCAAAAAGAAACCATGGGCCGATTGATTTGAAAGTTAACAAATTTTATGACAAACTTTTATTCGCTACAGGTATATTGTGTGATGTAATGTTAGCGTGTCAGTATACATGTATAAGAAAAAACCTAATCTTCAAGAAATGCCAGTGTTTAAGTCCAAAATAAATCTAAAATCAAGATCCTAAATTAAACGTAAGTTTGGAAGATGTCTTTGCAAAGAGTGATTTAAACTTTTTTGAATACATAATATTGAATAATCTTTTCTTAGATCGACCTCCTCAAGTTTAAAGTATATACTAAGTTCTTTTAAAGATTTCCAATATGCTTTCCTAACTATGAAAAGATTGAAATAACAAAAAGTGATCAATCTAATAAATTATTCAAAGAAGAAGAAACAAAAACAATGCCCCCTGAAATTTTCGCATATTGTATATTTCAACATTTCATATACGATTCTTTAATTTGTCAATGTTAGTTATATTTAATTCTTTTGTTCCATTATATGCAATTACAATTATGTAAATGGCACTTAGGGCGTTTGAGCTGATTTTACCAACTACAATAATCATGTAATATATGAATCCATCAATAGTCGGATTTCCACCTAGTGGCATCTGTTTCGCCACTAAATTTTTAACTCAGAGTATAATAATAATACAATATGGGTTAAAAAATTATTACCGAAACAAGTGCCTGTGTTTCCACCTCCTGCAGTGGAAATCGAACCTGCAAAATATGATTCAGCATACGGTTCAACTGAAGACTCCGCAAATCCAGAGCACATTGCGTAATCGCTGTGCGTTAGTATACTCCTGGCATTAAAAAATCATTCATGATTTTATTTTCAGTCTTACTACATTAATTGTACATTAATATTTCTGAAGATGTTCGTACAATATGACATAGTGTCACGATGATTAAAAGGTACGTGACATAGACGTTTTTAATTGAATTAAAGGGTAACCAAGGAGGTAATTTTAACAAGGAAAATCACGAAAATGTGGATAATAGTCACAATTATCATTTGTAGTCCAAAGGAACAAAAAGAGGAAAAGATATTTTCAGAATTGAATGTATATACTTTTATTATCATAAAGGATAGTTTTTAATTTTTGTTTACAATGCAAAGTCATATATGTATTTATACAAAATATTTATATAAAAATATTAAACGTTAAAAATTTTAACAAAGGATGTATGCCGTGTAGTCTGAATTAGTTCTGTGACACCATTCATGTTGACCTTTAACATATTCATACTGAAAGTAAACTGACTCCTTCGCATTACTTGTTGTGTTAATTAGTGATCCATGATGACGTGAAATTTGGTAACTCGCTCACTATAAGGAGATTTGGTGTCATGACACCGGATATACTTGGAGCAGACATAACACTACAACCCTAATCAAATCAATGTAGTATCACACATATATCTATTTTTCTTGCCATTTAAAGTTGCATGTTGAGTTACAAATGGAACCCAATGCAAGCTTGGGCAACGAAAAATTCCAGAGAAATTAGAAAAAATTACGCTACAAAGCAATCAATATAATAACTGAATTGCATTTAAGTAAGGTCTACTAATTAAGGCCTTAATGTAAATGCTAATTGCTCTTTCTGGACATGTTAAAAGAAACAAGAGGTTAAGATGATTCAAGCATGATATTTGTAACCATTTGATATGATTTTTAGAGGACTATCTGAATCTGTCTCTCTAATGTTAAAGATTTTTTATCTCACCTTAGCTAAAAGCTTCGGTGAGCCTTTCTGATCACCCTTGTCCGTCGTCCATCTGTCTGTTTGTCTGAAAAGTTTTAACTTTCCGATTTCTTCTCAATGCACGCTCGACCAATTTTAATCAAACTTTATACAAAGCAGTTCTTGGAAGGAGGGGAATTAAAACGAAGGTCCAAGCCTCCTTACAAGCAGCAATAATCAACAAAAAAGAGGCCCGTGGGCCACATCTCTCACCTGAGAAGCTTTGACCATGCTGTTCTTTACCAGATTTCCCCCTTGTAATACCTATTGTGACCCAACCCTAACCTAAGGGTCATAATTTGGACAATTTAAAATCTACACTATGGATTCTTCCATATAAGTTTCAGCTTTTTGGTCCAGTGGTTCTTGAGAAGATTTTCCTATATATTTCTATGTAAAACTTGGATTCTTTTTTGTGGCCCCGCCCTCCCCCAGGGGGTCATCATTTTTTACAATTTTGAATCTACACTACCCCAGGATGCTTCCACACAAGTTTCAGCTTTTCTGGCCCAGTGGTTCTTGAGTAGAAGATTTTCAAAGATTTTTCCTACATATTTCTATGTAAAACTTTGATTCCCTATTGTGGCCCCGCCCAACCCCGGGGGTCATCATTTGAACAATTTAGAATTTACACTACTCCTGGATGCTTCCAAACAAGTTTCAGCTTTTCTGGCCCAGTGGTTCTTGAGAAGAAGATTTTAAAAGATTTTTCCTATATATTTCTATGTAAAACTTTGATTCCCAATTGTGGCATCGCCCTACCTTCAGGGGGTCATCAATTTTACAATTTAGAATCTACACTACCCCCAGGATGCTTTCACTTAAGTTTCAGCTTTTCTGGCCCAGTGGTTCTTGAGAAAAAGATTTTAAAAGATTTTCCCTATATATTTCTATGTAAAACTGGATTACATGTACCTATTGTGGCCTCGCCCCAACCCCCGGGGATCATGATTTGAACAATTTAGAATCTACACTAACCCTGGATGCTTCCACATCAGTTTCAGCTTTTCTGACCCAGTGGTTCTTGAAAAGATTTTAAAAGATTTTTCCTATATATTTCCATGTAAAAAAATTGATTCCCTCTTGTGACCCTGCCCTACCCCCGGGTTGTCATCATTTTAACAATTAAGAATCTACACTACCCTAGGATGATTCCACGCAAGTTTTAGCTTTTCTGGCGCAGTGGTTCTTGAGAAGAAGATTTCTAAAGATATTTCCTATATATTTCTATGTAGAAATTGGATTCCCCATTGTGGCCCCGCCCAACCCCCGGGGGTCATGATTGGAACAATTTAGAATTTACACTATCCCTGGAGGCTTCCACATAAGTGTCAGCTTTTCTGGGCCAGTGGTTTTTGAGAAGATTTTTAATGACCCACCCTATTTTGTCTTTTCTTAATTATATCCCCTTGTGTGGGGACTTAGCCATTCATTTTAACAATTTAAATTTCCCTTCACACAAGGATGCTTTGTACAAATTTTGGTCAAAATTGGCCAAATGGTTCTTGAGTAGAAGTCGAAATTGTGAAAAGTTTACAAACGGACGGGCGACGGAGAAAATGTGATCAGAAAAGCTCACTTAAGCCTTCGGCTCAGGTGAGCTAAAAAGGCAAAAATAATGTGAGATCATTAAAATATCTACTAAATCCAAATGAGCCAGGAAAGCATGTGGAAGCATCCTTGGGTAGTGTATATTATAAATTGTTCAAATATGCAACCCCCAGGGTAGGGTGTGGCAAAAATAGGTATTATTACAATGGAAAATAATTATGTTTAAAATATGATCTGCCAAATTTTCTCTTGAAAAACCGGATAATAAAAACTTTTTTAAAAAGTATTTACCGGACAGTAAAGTAATTAAGTGAAAATAATTAAAAACAAAAAGGTATAAATATAATTAATAATGTTCATTAAGCCATTACCTAATTCAATTTTTGACGTTCGTCATGATCGTGTAATAATCGGGAAGGAGTGGGCGAGATTAGGGAATTAAAATGTCCTTGCTCCTTTTGAGGGCCATACAAACTGTACGCATATATTCTATTATATATAATATCTCAGCAGTATGAATTAACCTGCAGATTAATTGTTTACAGAACTTGTCAAAATAATGTTACTATATCTAGAATCTGAACGACCTTAACACTTAATAATTTTTTAGCTTTTTTCCGTCACAGAATGTTATAAAAAAGTTCAATTTGACCTGTTATCTGCGTAAAAACGTACACTGTATCGATATCAATTTACATATCACATAATATGAAAAATCTTCAATGTTATAATATGCTGATACTTTAACACTATAAATGATACTTTTATATAATATGATGGCAATTCAATATATGGTGCTTAAAACAGGTCACACATATAGGAAGTATTGGATATATTTGTGGATATGGGAAGAGATAGAATGAAAAAGGAGTACTTCGCAAAAAATAAAAGATATATCTCGTAAGTAAAGGAACTGTTCACAGGAATAAAAATTCGCTGTACAAGGACAACCCCCCCCCCCCCTCAACAAAAAAAAATCGAATTTAGAGGACAACCCTTTGATTTGTATGCGGTTGCGTTTTGTTTTTTTTTTTAGATTATTTATTTCAATAAATGAATGATATATTTTTTTTCCTGAATAACCCGGTACAGATCTCGAATATTTTTTCTAACACACATTAAACTAAAATAATTCTACCATTCGAATCTCGAAAAATACATTTCTTAGGGGGGGAGGCAAGGGCTAACGCGCCACACCAAAGTCAATAAAGTGGGAAACATAAAAAATTTTAAATTATGAGAAAAAATTGCTTATTATAGAAAAGATGCGGGAATTTCTTGGAAATATTATTCATCAAATTTTAAAATCATAACATATCTTAGGGTTTGGACTGTTGATTTTAATTAATGGTATATGGGATATTGTTTTAAATCATAATCATACAAACTCTACCTGTCAAAAATCAATGGCCAAAAGAAGAAAAAAATTCAATATGTAATAATTTCGGATCAGACAATATACTCGAGTAATTAAACAGGTCTGGACGATTTCTAAATAAGGAAGTCAAGAA